AATCCCACCCCCTCATGCAGTCCCTGAGGTGGGTGGGTTGCCCAGACCCAGGGACCATGAGATGCTGAGATTTCCAGAGTCCGTCCAGCAGCCTCCCACCTGCCTCAGTACCATCTGGAGACTCCTTCCACAGCAGGGGCAAGCTCACCATCTGAAAGTCCTCGTCCAGTCCTGAGCTGGTCTCAGACAGGAGGAGCTGTCAGCAGGTTTCTTTACCATTTCCTAGTCTCGGGGTGCCTTCCCTGCTCAGTGCAGGGTGATCTCACTATTTCAGACAAGATGCTAGGCAGCGTGGCCTCTTTTTTTTTAGTCAGAGTGTCACTCCGTCACCCAGACTGGAGTGCAGTGGCATGCTCTTAACCACCCCAGCATTGACTTGCTGGGTTCCAGCAATCCTTCCACCTCAGCCTTCCAAGCAGCCGGAACTACAGGCACACACTACCATGCCCAGCTAATTTTTTTTTTTGGTAGAGATGAGGTCTCGCCAAGTTGCTGGGGCTGGTCTCGAGCCCGCAGGCTCAGGCAACCACTCGCCTCGGCCTCCCAAAGAATTGGGATTACAGGCTGAGCTATTGAGCCCAGCCAGCCTTGGCCTCTTGAAGTCACATCCTGGGCAGGGGACGTTCCCTGTGGTGTTCTAAGAACCCCAAGATTCTTCCTTCCCCATGACTCAGTTTAATAAGAATAAGCCAGTCCATTTGCCACCTGTTTTAAACGACAAAGGGCCTTACTGACGTAATTCAGAATGGGCTTAATAGAGAAGAAAAACAACTGAAGAGCAGGGCACCAGAAAAATTACAGGGACAGGAGTGGCCTCAGCCCTCTGAGGACAGTGACCACAAAAAGAGAGGACACATCTAATCAACTCAGCCACCTCGGGGGTGCACTCGATGTCTCCCCACTCTCCGAGTCATCAGGGAGACAAACGCCAGATAAGGCCCTGTAGCAAATAATCCAAGACCTTTGAGCTTGCTAGGGAGCCAGAGAGGCCTAAGGCCTCCAAAAAGGCACTCAGAGGGCTCTGTCTCTGGGAGGATAACCAATCATCCTGGCTTAGCCCCCAAAGACCCAGGTCTGGGGCAAACCAGGACAACTGGCCACCCTCTGTGCTCCCCTCTCCCTGGTGAGCAGTTCCTCCCACCGGGGACAAGGTGTTCTGGGACTAAGTCTGAGGGACAGGGAGCAGAAGTTTCTGGGCTGCACACACCCTGGTGCAGGGGAGTCTGGGGGAACTGGGCCCCGCAGCCTCCAGTGTGTGAGACTTCTGTGTTCAGCATGGGAGGAGGCTGAGAGTGCAGTGTTGCCTGGTCTCCCCTTACTCTCTTTGCAAACTCTGCTCCCATCCTCAGAACTGCGGATCTTGCTGCTGTGTGGGAGTGACCTGCTGGAGTCCTTCTGCATCCCAGGGCTCTGGAACGAGGCAGATGTGAGTAGCAAGGCTGTGGAACGGCCCACGGTTGGGGTGGGTGAGGCTAGGGAGGGTGCTCTTGATTTGGGACTCCTCTCCCTTGAGCTCCTAACAGGGCCGTCCATTCACATCATGATGGTGGGAAATTCTCACCTCCCTGAGGTCCTGTCTGCCCACCTTGCTCCAAGAAAGATCCTGGGAAAAAAACAATGCGTCATAGAACACCTTGCTCCAAGTAGCGCTTGGGGTATGTGTGTGCATGGGGTGAGGGGAGGGAAAGGACTTTAAAAAGCCAAAAAACAAAACCTTTGCCCTTTTGAGATGATTGTGTGTTTTGTTTTCTTTGATTCCTTTTGAAGAGGTAGTAAATACCACCCTAGAATTTCCTCGACAAGAAGAAACGGGTCAAGAGGGGAGAGTTTAATGGCAAAAGGTCAGCAGGATCCTTCTGGCAATTGAGTTGGCATAGAGGGAACCAAGTAGTTAAACTTCTACCACTTACACGCCCAGTTGACATCTTTTGTTGCCATATCTGACTGTGATGGTTTTAAACAGCTAACCCATAAATGACTCCCTGTTCACACATGCACTCATTCTTGTTCTTTCATTAATTCATTCATCTGACAGCCTTAGCTAATGCCAGTTCCCAGTCCCAAAGCCCTGTGCAAGGTGAATCCCTGGGACGATGATTCCTTCCAGTATTTTTGTGTTAACTTGCTGTGAGACTCCTTGCAAGCCAGTGAACTCCTCTGGGGCTCAATTGTTTTTTATTTTTATTTTTGACATCTATAGTGTCTATAGAGACTGAGTGTGGTGACGCACACATAATTCCAGCATTTTGGAAGGCTGATGTGGGAGGATTGTTTGAGCCCAGGAGTTTGAGACCAGCCTGGGCAACATAGCAAGACCAGCTCTCTTACAAAAATTAAAAATTTGACTGAGTGTGATGGTTCATGAATGTGGTCCCAGCTACCTAGAAGAACGAGGTAGAAGGATTGTTTGAGCCTAGAATATCAAGGCTGCAGTGAACTGTGATCATGCTATTGCACTCCAACCTGGACAACAGAGTAAGACCCTGACTCAAAAAATAAGTAAATAGATAAAAATTTTAAAAATAAAATCTATAGAATATTATCTACAGTATTCTGAGATTTTCTTTTTTTTTTTTTTTGAGTTGGAATCTCACTCTGTCACCTAGACTGGAGTGCAGTGGCGCACGCTCCCGGCGACCGCAGCCTCAACCTGCTGGGCTCCAGTGATCCTTCCGCCTCAGCCTTCCAAGTAGCTGGAACTACAGGTGCGCACTACCATGCCCAGTTAACTTTTTGATTTATTGTAGAGATGAGGTCTCGCCAAGTTGCCCAGGTGGATCTCGAACACACGAGTTCAGGCACTCCACTCGCCTCGGCCTCCCAAAATGCTGGGATTACAGGCTGAGCCACTGAACCTGGCCCAGCATTCTGAGATTTTTAAAGAAATATATAATACACTCCCTGCCCCCGAGTAATAGATGGCATGAAATCTTTTCATGTACATCTGTGTGTCTCTGGAGTGATAAACGAGAGAGAGAAGAGAGAGTCAGCTTTCAGGGTCAAACTCAAGATGCTACTTCAGCGCAGCTAGTAACATAGTATGTTCTGAGTTTCCGTATTTCCCATCTCTAAAATGGGCATATTACATAGTACCTACCTTATGTGATTTTGGAAGACTTCATTGATATTGTCTATTTAAACTGCCCAGCTTGGTACCTGACACACAGTTACATGCAACAAATATCGTTAAGTAAATTTACCCAAATAGACACAGGGGTATGCACATAGCTATTCAAGGTGAAGGTCATAAATGCTAACATGCTGTGGGATAGCCAAGAGGGGAGGGGAAACATCAGGAAGCAAATTATACTGTGGAGTTCTTTCATCTCCACCCTGGAAACATGTCCTGCAGGCAAAATCCTAAACCTTCTTTCAGCTCTGGATTAAGTGGCTTAATTGGCTTTTGCTTTAGATTTCCTCATGACTTCACAAGGGGCTGAGAAGGTAAAAAATAATACAGCAAGTTCTGTTCAAGATCTCAGCAAAGCTCCTTCGAGAATCCAGACACATCTGGGCTATTGCCTGGGGCTCTATTTTATGGGGAGGCCTGGGCAGTCATGGAGGGCTCTAGAAGGATGAAGTCAGCAGCTGGGACAACAGCCTGAAGTGCCCTTGGGAACAGGGAATCCCAAGGGGGCTGTTTACTAAGTCCCTGGTGAGGCATTTCCTCCCAAGGGCAGACTCAGGCTTTGTGGAGCCTGAAACTTACTGTACAGCCTTTGCTGCAGGCCAGGCCCTCTGTTCCTCCCAGTCAGATGTTGATTTAGATTGCAGGTCCTCCCACTTTTCTCCAATGTGGCTGCTCTTGGAGTAGTCAGATACCAACACTGGAGGACAAGGGAGAATATCCCCTGTTCTTGCCTCTTCTATTTGGTTCCTGGTGCTGAAACCACAGTTGATCAGTTAAGATAGAAAATTAGACCTGGCACGGTGGCTCAAGCCTATAATCCTAGCACTTTGGGAGACTGAGGTTAGAGGATTACCTGAGTCCAGGGGTTTGAGACCAGTAACTTGGTGAGCCCTCATCTCTACAATAAATCAAAAAATTAGCCTGTCATGGTGGCGTGTGCCTGTAGTTTCAGCTACTTGGAAGCCTGAGGTAGAAGGATCGCCTGAGCCATAGTCGAGGATGTGGTGGCTGTGATGGCTGTGATGGCTGTGAGTGTGCCACTGTACTCCAGCCTGGGCGACAGAGTGAGACTCCCAACTAAAAAAACAAAAAAGAGCTGGGCTCGGTGGCTCAGCCTGTAATCCCGTGCTTTGGGAGGCTGAGGTGAGTGGATTGCCTGAGCCTGCGGGTTCGAGACCCACCTGGGCAACTTGGCGAGACCTCATCTCCACAATAAATCAAAAATTAGCCGGGTGCGGTAACGCGCACCTGTAGTTCCAGCTACTTGGAAAGCTGAGGCGGAAGGATCGCCGGAGCCCAGCAGTCGAGGCTGTGGTGACCGGAAGCGGCCACTGCACTCGTCTGGGTGACAGAGTGAGACTCCAACTAAAAAAAAAAAAGATAGAAAATTGGAGAATCTAGCAGTTGTTAACTTACCAGGAATGTGACAGTGGAGGTGGAGTCAAGTCCTCATCAATTCAAATGTGTTCTCACTTGACCTCTTGGCCAAGTCCCAGTCCTGCTGCTCTTTCCTGTCTGAATTCTCAAGGGAGATCATAGAATTTCAGTTCCATAAAGTGGTTATGGAGAAAGGGAAGGGATTCTTCTCTTCCATTCCCAACCCCTACTCTGAGATAAATGACTTTCAAGAATCTGCTGGAAACCAGGGATAGATGAGATAATGAAATAACAGCAAGGTAGGGTAACCAACTAGTTCTGGTTTCCCCGGAGCTTACCTGGTTTGAAAATGGAGAGTCCCACAACCCGAGAACTCCATCAGTCCTGGGCCAACCAGGATGGTTGGTCACCCTGGAGTCCCAGGTCATCCAGCTTGGCTACACTCAGAGGGCACCACAGTCCCAGCCCAGCAGAGACCTCTCTCCTATCCTATATAGCATGGTGAGAATTCTAGTCTCCTGCAGAGGCAGCAGAAAGACCCTCAAGCTTGCTCCAGGGGGGTTTTCTAGAGCCTGGAGCTGACCCACATCCCTAGCACCTTACATTGCCCAGTCCCCTGCCTCAACCCACAGCCAACCTGTGATGTCCTTAGAATCATCGTGTCTGATATAGAGGCGGAAAAAATCCAAGGAGCTGTTTCCTCACAGTATGAGTGTGAATCTCAGCCTACAACAGAGGTGTGCCAGAAATATCACGTTAATTTATTTACATCAAATTAAAATTCCACTACACATCCCTATCCCACCAAGATGGTGGAAATGTGATCTCAGCTAATACTGATTAGAAGACCTGAGAGGGTCTTGTGTGCCCTGAACATGAAGATAGCTCTTCGGTCTCAGTTCACCAGGGATATTTGCCCATAGATATGTCTGGACCTGCATGGTCTCTTTTTTTTTTTTTTTTTTTTTTTTGAGTTGGAGTCTCACTATTCAACCCAGGCTGGACCGAGTGGCATGCTCATGGCCACTGTAGCCTCGACCTGCTGGGCTCAGGTGATTCTTCCACCTCAGCCTTCAAGTAGCTGGAACTACAGGCGTGCACCACTATGTCCAGCTAATTTTCTGATTTGTTGTAGAGACGAGTTCTTGCCAAGTTGCTCATGCTGATCTCAAACCCCTGGGCTTAGGCAATCCTCTCGCCCTGGCCTCCCAAAGTGCTGAGATTACAGGCTGAGCCACCGTGCCTGGCCCTTCATGGTCTCTTGAAGTTGAAGTTGCACTGCTCCATGCCCATCTGTGGCGGGGAACTCCTGGCTGATTCTGGAGGCCTAGTGCTGGGCCCTATCTACCCACCCAGGTCCCTAGGGTGTAGCCCAGGAGGGAGGAGGGTGGGGTTCACAGATCTCTAGCCACTTCCTATTGTGGAGAGCATTGGCGTGGGGGCAGCAGAGCCTCTCTCCTTCCTTCTTAGTGTTCCAAAAGCATCTTTTCTATTTTCTGTCCCCTCCTCAGGACATCTAGGGGAATTTCTTCTGTGAGTTTAAAGCCATTACTTCAAAGCATTCTGGTTTTGTCCTGCACTTTTCTCTTGGGAAGTGTCTGGCTCTCTGCTAGAGATGGAGTTGGGGGTCGTCAGGGGCTGTAGGGAGCACAGACTAGTCAGCCACTCTATTAATTAGTCCTCTGCCTTATTTGGGGTAGGTTGGATCCCAAGGTCTGGAAAAAGAGCATCTTTCATTCAAGACTGGCACAGAGTGAACCCTGCCCATTGTACCACCATCTACCATCTGGAATATGCCTGATGGCTCATTTTAGGAATTTTAGTTCTAATCATGAGACTCCCAGTGATAAGATGTCAGACATGCTTCTGTCCCAGGCTTGTGTCTTTCTTTCTCCCTCCTTCCTCCCTTCCTCCTTTGC